CTCAACCTTTCTCTCTCTCCCTCTCTCTCTCTCTCTCTCTCTCTCTCTCTCTCTCTCTGTCTTCTTCTTCGTCGTGGTCTTCTCTGCAGGTGCGTGCGGGGGCTTCTTCAACCTCCAGGTCCGCTATGGCGGACTTCTTCTCCGTTGGCCACTTCGGCTATGGCGCGTTACTCTGCCTGCGGCACACGACGACACGCGTGGAATAGCGGGTACCAGCTCTGATACCAATGCAATCAGACTCGCTCTCATTCACACTTCTCACGCATGCAAACAGGTGCGCAGCAAACTGGCGACAAGCGCCCACTCAGAACTCAGAGATATGGTAACCGAGAACACAGTTCAGATTCAAGTTCACTTCGATGGCTATGGTGCCTCAGCGCCCACACAACTCTCTGTTCGCATACACAGGATCACCCTGGATATCCCACACGCGATACTCTGAACACACACACACACACACTGAACTCTACTTCAGCTATGGCGGCTATGGCCGCTACTACCCTATCACTATGGCTACACTCCTTCTCTCTCGCCCACTTCGTCCTCGGGCTCACTGCAGACCACCTCGCACAAGTCGCTTGTGGCAGCACTTCCTCATGGCTCACGCAGGAATGAATGAATGACTGGGCGCTGCCTCTTGATTTATACTTCTGCAGCTCGTTAGTCTGGCCCTTTTCCATGCCCGTAGTGCACACAGTCCCATGCGGTACTTGCTTGACTGGACTGACTGACTGGGGGGGGCTGGGACTGCTGACTCAGCACGGGTAGACTCCACCACTTGCCTCACCACTTGCCCACTTGCCTCAGCCTAAACGTGGGCAACTTCGAAAGGCCACTACTGGGCCCTTCCGGAAGGCCGTAGACTTGGCCTTTCGAAACTGTAGCAGCTACGACCTTGACCTTTCTGGACTGTAGCAGCTACGACCTTTACCCTTCGAGAAGCTACAGTTACGACTTCTAGACCTCACTAAGACTCCTACTTGACAGGTCTACAGATCAAACCCCTGCGACCTCTGGGCCCTACAACAGTCTACCAACTGTTACAAATACACAGGTCACGGGTTCGACTCTAGGGGTCGACACAGATACTGTACACAGGTAAGGTAGGGGCTAGGGATCGAGCCTGGGATCTGCATCAGCTACTGCGAACTGGTGAATACCGTTTCAACTCCCCCTACACTGTGCCTCTCACGTATATATATGTACATATATCTGTGCAAGTGTGCCGCTTTCGCGGCAGACACGTGTGTGGGCACTTCCCGCTCAACCACACAAAAGTGGGGAACCTTGCATTTTCAATTACATTGCCCATTTATACTTCTTTTGTTTTATGGATGGTTTGCAATGGCTTTTAGATGGAATGAGAGAGAGAGAGTTTGGGGTTTCTTGACAACACACACACACACACACACACACACACACACACACACACACACACACACATGGCTACAGCTGGCACCTACCTCCTTCCCTGGGGAGTGGCAGGCTGGCACCTGTGCCTGCTGCAGTCGCACATGCAAGTGCACTGGCAGCCGCCCGGTATCACCCAGCCAAAGATGCACCGGGTAGCAATCGATCTGCCTAAGAAGGCAGTCACGGCCTGGGTAGCAATCGAACTGTCTAAGAAGGCAGCCATGGCGTGGGCAAGACTGGCTGCCTGCTCTCGGGAAACTATTGGAAGGCAGGGCCTAGTGGTTGTTGAGGGGTACGTGCTTTGGCAGGTCCAGTATGGCCAAAATGGTCGATAGCCCTTTATCCCCAGCCTTACTGGTCTAGCCCCTTTCCGCCCGTCAGTTCGGCTGATTTGGCCAGGCGGTCACCACTATGGGCACCCTGAAAGCAGACCCTGACCTAATCGTGTACATCATCTTTGGTTTAGACTGTGGTTCTGGGGCATTGCCAGACTGCATGTGATTCTATGCTACCTTGGCATTAAACCACCATTACGTCATTAAAAATCAGGCGAACCAGGCGAACCCCTGCAGACAGAACGAAAAGCCTGTGGTCATTGGCTCACCAATACAACGGTCCAACTGGGAAAAGGGCAGGCCTCCTGGGGACCAGGGTAGCGATTTAACGAAGACCCTACAAACAAGACTCCTCCCGAATTTGAATACAGTGCGATGCCGTAGGAAATCGGGGCAATTCCTGCAGAGAGCCAGAGACAGGATGCATTCCATACATACCTCCGAATAGATGGCTTCGTTCACCGCCCTCTGTTCTAACATTGAAGCTATGCATCAGGTCGTCCACTGCCTCATTCTTGTCAAGCCGCATGACCCCATCTTCAGCCTTGCCATTTTCGTCTGACGCCCCAAGTTTCCAGTAGCGGACAAAAAGGGGCATCCCACTCAAATTGCCCACTGTCAGCAAAGGGGATATGCTGACAAAGAGCCCTTCCTGCAACACAAAGAACACGAAACAAAACCCTATTTAAATCATTTTGTAAAATTCCTGCAGCTGCATTAAAAAAGTATGCCATAACTCCCACAAGTAATCACAATCAGAAAATGGTGAGTGCAATCATGGATGACTGTGAAGTTCGGTGTGAACCATTACTGACAACTTTCTGAAAAGGAACTCATGCAGACTCGCAGATGCAAGTTCATGTGACCACCACATGCGATTTAGGGTAAGCAAATTTAACCCCAGGAAAGAGCAAAGTGCGCTGACCAGTTCATGGGAAAAGCTACATCCCACTCAGATTGTACACTGCAAGTGAAGCGATTTGGTGACACAAGCCGTAAGTCCACAAGAACAGCACACACCATTCAGGGAAAGCAAATCTAACCGCAGGAAAGAGCGAAGTGCGCTGCTGACCAGTTCATGGTAAAAGGAACATCCCACTCAGATTGTACACTGCAAGTGAAATGATTTGCTGACAAAAAATGCGCTTTCCTGTGAAAACAAAGGCAGGAAATCATGGAAATGGAAAAACAAAAAGGGCAGGAAATGAATGTGTATGTGAGACTGCACAATCATCAAACAGTCCTCAGAGTCTCACAGAAAGATGGAGTATGTCAACTTGTCAAGGTTGATGTAACGATTTTCTCGCATTTTCGTGACGGGAAAACAAAAGCAAAGCCAAAGAAACAAGTGCCATCCTCAGTTAGCTTCAGTCAAATGGGATAGGGTAGCAATGTAGCATTCATCTTTCGCTTTGCCTGGTGCCTTTCCTTGCAAAAAGAAAGCACCTTCATCTTCCTCCCCCAGGTCCATCTTCAGCTCCTCAACTTCCTCCTCTTCGTTTGTGTTCTTCTTCATGCAATGACCCCTGGCATCTTAACCACTTACTACACTGTGTCGCATCCAGGGGCAAGGCAGAACGAAGCTGCTGACCAAAGCTGCAGCTAGGCTCCAAATTTGGTACATAAGCATAAAAAATAGAGAGTAACAATGCAACTTACTTGTGAGGCAACTACCTACTTCCGCAAACAAAACGCCTCACCATCACTTATAAAATCATCAATTTCAAAAACAATTTTGGGATAAATGACTGACCATTCGCTCTCCCATCACTCATTTCGTCTGTTCATTTTTCTCAGATATATGGTCGCTAAACATGACCATATTGAAGTACGTACGGTAAAGAGCACGTAGAGCAGACCCTGAATTGCCGAAGCTAATTTTTTTGGATGATCCTGGATTCCTGGCTATTTCCGAAGTGCAAATTCACCAGGAAAGGCAATGCCATTATGCCACCCAATTGCAAAAGAAATGAAAGCACTTGCAAAGAGATAGAGATCAAAGAAGAAGAAAGAAGAAGAAAGACGAAGAAGAAGAAGAAGAAGAAGAAGAAGAAGAAGAAGAAGAAGAAGAAGAAGAAGAAGAAGATGTACACCAGCAAGACCAATGACAAATCCCCCTTCTCTCTCCACTCTCCTCCTCCTCTTTATCTCCGCCAATCTTCTTCTTTACCAAATAATAATAACAACAATTAATGGTAGAGCCAGAATCAATATCCGAAGTTTCCTCTTACTGCCAGCACAACAAGTGGGCCACCATAGCCATGGCTTCCCTCTTCTTCTTCCTCACACAGAGCCTAGGCTATGGAGGTCTACTAAGGGCCTTGCCCTAACGTGCAAAAGACAGCGCAAAGCAGCTATGGCCGCTGCTCTTCAGGCCGCCATGCCTGACTCTGCCTTGAAGCCTTCTTGGTGCAGCGCTACCCCAACTGGGGCCTTCCAGTCGCAAGGTGATGAAGATGGTGTCCGCCATAGCCAGGTAGGTACCTTTGCCACTCCCTTCCTTCGCCGCCTCCTTCCTCCTCCTCAAGCTGGGCTGCTTGCCATAGCCAGGCAGATCTCCTTCTTCCTCCCCAGAGGTGCTCCGAGAACCAGCGCCCGCTCAAGCAGCATGACGCCGAAACTTTCACACCGCAAATGAGGAGGAGCTACTCGCTCCTCCAGGAGATATAGCGGCCAACCAGCCTCATGGCTGGTGACTTCCAGGCTGCGTGGCCTCCAAGCAACCGCTACCTCCTCCCTTTCAGAGGGAAACATCAGTGCAGGTTCTGATATCGTTCAGACAAGCCCTAAACTCCGGCTACTTGGACTGGTACCCGCCTAGACCTCAGCCTGCGGCCACTGGGCCTCTAAAAATGCTAACTTTTTGTCTTCTTCTGCACGGCCTGCGGTTCCCGACACATCTGCGGCTACTTGAGTGGTACCGGCCTAGCTGCTAGTATTTTTCCCCTGCTGTCGTGGGCCTAGTCCCCGCTACTTGAGTGTTTTCCCCGCTGCAACCCTCAAAGTCACAGCCACAGGTAAGTAATGGCCCCAGGGGCCTCACAACACACGAGTGCCCTGTTGGGCCACACACACACTCAGGCAGACAGGCACATGGACCAGCAAGCACACACTCACACACAGACTTAGAAAACTCAGCAGCACGCAAGAATCTCAGCAAGGCATACATTCCAGTGGCAAAACTCAGAAATCAGCAGTATTCTCAGTCTGTGTTTTGGCAGGTCATTACATATACCTGAATGAATTGAAACCGTCATCGCCAGGGCAGCACATCGGAAGTGTGGCCTGCTTGTATACGACCAAAAGTTTCGTCCGAAGGCGCTCACACTGGCAGTTTAAATGCATTGTTGGACCACTCACAAAACCATATAAAAAAAAAAACAAAAAAAAAGTTAAAACAAACAGTTAGTTTGTGAGGGAACAGTGGGGGCAGCTGCTTTTACATAGTGGAGTGAGACTTGTGGGCATCACCTTGAGCCTCAGCCAAAAATTTGGGCTCACAAATTCATCAATAATGAATTGTAAGTTGCTAACAATGAGAACAGCATGAGTCATAAGTTGCTGCTGATGACACGGTCACGAGTCATAAGTTGCTAATAATGACAAGGGCATTATTATCAAGGGGGAAGACAGGGGTTGGCACTTGGCATATGAGTCCCAGCATCCATACCTGGCTTTGCTTTGATATGCTGACGACCAATGGCACATGTGACTTCTGGTCTCCTTCTGGCCACAAGAGATCAACATGGCAGGCGATGTGTCAAGCAAGGTGAGAGAGGGGGTGGGGGGGTTGGGGGCGGGGGGGGGGGCAGGGTTTCACAAGGACACAACAAAAAACTTCAGGACAGATCAGGCGGCCTTGCGAAAGGATGCAATGCACTGTTGAATTGGACTGTTTTTTTGTGGTGTGTTTTCTTTGCTTTCTTGAATTCAGGGGGTTTAACAGACAGATGGGGGACGGGTATTGAGGGAAATCCTGGTCCAGAAGGACAGTGAACCTTCCGTTTTGGAGTCATCAATAATGTCTGTGCATCCTCAGAGCCTGGGCCTGAAGGACTGCAAGGAAATGTTAAGCAGACTGTTTCTTGAGGTATGTTTACTTAAGTCTCTTTTTAATTCAGGAGTTTTAAGTTTTAACAGCTATAGATGGGGAAGGGGTATTGACCCAAAGACTGGGCCAGAACTTCCCCAGAAGGACTGAGTCTTGCGTTTTGAAGTAATCAATGATGTTTGCACATCCCCAAACTGTAACGAGGAGAGGCACCCCGTCCCCTGGGTACGCTATGTACCTGTGACTTGCCAGTGGAAAAGGAAGCAGACTGATGCTGCCCAGAACAGTACGGAACCTCAGCCATAAGCCTGCAGTTTCTCTCCAAAAGAACAAGAAAAAGAAATGGGGTTGCTCTTCTTGACACAGTACTGGGTATAACAGTGACCAACAGTACCAGCCAAGCCAACCTCCATTGTCAACTCCTCAAAATGCAGACCCTGCTGCTACTGGGATGGGTAGTGCGCAGCATTAATGAAAGATTAGATGACCTGTTGGGGGTTCGCTTGCAAGAAACAGGAGGGAATGTCAAAGAAGAAGTTTTCTTTGTTTCCCCTTTTCCTGGGGAAGCTGACTTATACTTGCTGTTTGTGATTCCCTATGGGAAGTTGGTGCGTTCTAAGGATCCCTCTCTTTCCCCTTGGGTTGTGGAAGGAGTCTTCCCCTAATGCGAACATGCATGCAATCGTCCATGCAGAATTAACACACTATCATGACAGTGTCCAGAGTAATTTGGTGTTGGAATGTTCGCCGGGAGTAGGTGAACTCCAACATTCCAACATTGACTATCTTATTCCCATGCGTTTGGCTTTGAAAAGACTCGCGTCACCAGTGATTCAACCCCTTGCACACGTCCCTCGTGATGGATGCCGGAGCACAGACTCTTCACATGCTTAAACCACAACTCTTATTCCCATGTGTTTGGCTTTGAAAAGACTCGCGTCACCAGTGATTCAACCCCATGCACACATCCCTCGTGATGCATGCCGGAGCACAGACTCTTCACATGCTTAAGTACTCGTCTGCACTGCTCTTCATCCTCCCTCTGACCATCCGTCCATAGTCTCCAACCCCCAAACACGGGAAACACCATGGCCAAGGGGGAAAGCCCTTCCTCATCCTCCGCCTGTCACCCACTCCTGCTCCTCTTCCCCCAAGTTGCAACTCTTTCCCCATACTCCACCACCTCCCTCCATCTTTCATTCTCTCTATCATGACCTTGTCCTCTTCACTCCCTTTCACATTCCCTGCCTTTCCAAACTACTGTTCATGATCATCAGCCCTTTACATTCTGCCAAACTTGGGCGGGAAAAACTGAATTAAACTTAAAAAAAAAAAACTCATCCCCCCTCCTTGTCCTCCTTCCTTCATCCCCTCCCCCTATTCTTCTGGCTGCTCCTGCGACTTCATCATTTGCTTGCCAGGAGGGGAAATTTTTACCCATTCAAAATGATCCTTCCTCCTTCCTCCCTCATTCATCTCACCCCCAGCTTCCCTACTCTCATTCATGATCTCCACTCCTGCCATTTGTGACCACCTTGCCATGATGTACTCAAAAGGGGCATTCATCCTCTTCATCCTGTCATTCCCCTCTTCGACAATCTGTTTCGAGAGGAGGAAAATGAAAAAAAAATAAAATGAAATGATCTACATGAAGTGGTCACTCTTCCCCACTGCTCCTGCTCCCTTGTGTTCCCTCGTGTTCTTCCCTTTCCTTTTTTTCCTGGAACAGGTTTTTTTTACTAAGAAACTGGAAAGTGGGTACATCGTCCCTTCCATCACATATACTCACCCGTCACTTCTCCCCGTTATGGCCGGGAGAACCTGAGGCAAAGGCATTAATTTCTTGAAGGATATACCATCGCTCTGCCCCTGCTTTGTCCTGCAATCAGACTCGCTTTCTTTCCACTTCGCACTCATGCAAACAGATGGTGAATCACACTGGCGCACAGCTTACAGTTCAGATACAAAATCGCTCCGACAGGCTATGGCGCATCAGCGCCTGTACATGCCAACTCCAGTCTCACTGTCCAACACCACTGTTCGCACGTACTCAACTCTGGATTACCCTGGATATCCCACACGCAAACACACGCTCTCGTACTCACACACTCGCCTATCGGCTATGGCGGCTATGGTCGCTAACCCTCTAAAGCTATGGCTAACTATCTCCTTCAGCCCACTTCGTCTTTGGGCACTCTGCAGACCACCTCGCACAAGTCGCTCAGGCAGCGCTTCCGCATGGCTTATGCAGGAGTGAATGAATGGCTGGGCGCTGCCTCTTGATTTATACTTCTGTAACTTGTTGGTCTGCCCCTTCCCCATGCCCTTGGTCCACACAGTCCCACACGGTACTTGCTTGACTGGACTGTGACTGACTGGGTTTGCACTGCCAACTCGATGCAGTCGCACTGCCGACGTAACGCAGTTGGGCTCACCACTTGCCCACTTGCCTCTGTCCAAACGTGAGACAACTTCGAAAGGCCACTTCCGGACCTTCCGGAAGCTTGTGGGCTTGGCCTTTCAAACACTGTAGCAGCTACGACCTTGACGTTTCAGGACTGTAGCAGCTACGACCTTGACCGCTCAGAACTACTACAGCTACGGCCTCTGCAACAAACTTGACCCCTACTCGACAGGACTACTGTTACATGCTGCGCCTGCACACGAGGGCCATTTTCCAGGCCCTGCGTCCCTCAGGCTTAAAGCCTGAAAACCAGGGCCTACAGGCCCCGTGACTGTTCAGCCCGAAAGCCTGAAAACAGGGGCCTGCAGTCCCTGTGTCGTTTCAGACTAAAAATGGCAACAGCCTTTTAGCCTGAAACGAAGGGCCATTTTCGGTCGTTCATCAGAACGACCGGCCCTGAAACTCAGGCACCGAACCAGGGTTTTGGGAACATGCTATTCTTAGCCTGTTCCCCACGCCCGCCTCAGCAGCTGCTGCAGCGCCAGCCCCTGGCACACTTCGGCATTGGCAAGAGCAGCCTCCTCGGCCTGGCTCGCCCTTCAGGCAGTCAGGAGGCAGGCCGAGGTAGTACATAGGGACTTCCCATGCACTTCACGGGCAGGCAGGAGGCAGTAGTAGTCTCCAGGAGTCGGCAGCAGCACTCTGGAGGGAGCGCTGCAGGAGTAGTAGTAGCGTTAGCCTTAGTCTTCAGCGCTGGGCACTTTGCTGGACAGAGGAGCGCCAGGGCCCTTCACAACTTGATCGGGTCTAACATACATGCGCAAAAGCTGCTGGCACAGACGGTTCATCTGTTCAGTCTGGCCATTCGTTTCGGGATGTCTCCCTGACGACATGGTCAACCACGTGCCATAAGCTTCCATCAGCTTTTGCCATGGCAGACTGGTGAACCTGACATCTCGATCAGACAAAATGGATTTAGGGAACCCATACTCAGTGACCCAGCGCATCTGAAATTTCTGGATGACAAGTTCAGTACGCGCTTCTGCTGGTAAGGGAACAAACGTAGCGTATTTAGAGAAACGGTCTACAATTACCATCACTTGACTATTACCATTGCGACTTTTAACCAGACTCATGAAGTCGATTGAGATAGACTCACCTAGTTCACTTGGTATAGGTAATGGCTTGAGAAGTCCGAGGGGATTCTCATGCGACGGCTTGTTTCTCTGACACACTAAACAGGTAGGAACATATGTTAGTACATCTTTTTTAAGTCCCTTCCATTCGAAACGTTCTCTAACTTCAGCATACGTTTTCTTAAAACCAAAATGACCCTCAGAATCGTGACATTCCCCAATCAACAGACTCTTAATATTTTCCTTATGAGGAATACACAATCATTGTTCGGTTTGGTCAATCAAGAACAATCCATCAATCAGTCTATAGTTGGGTAGTTGGGACGGATCTCGTACAAGGATATCCATGATTGGTTTCCAGATAGGATTAGTAGCATATCCTGGGCGAATCTGGTCTTTCAGGTCATTCCCAACATCCAAGTAAGGGACAATTGCACCAAAGAAATCACTGCGTCGGGACAAAGCATCTGCAACCACATTAGACTTACCTTTGATAGTCTTGATTTCAAAGTCAAAGATGCCAATGAATGCAGACCATCTTACTAACTTGTCAGAGAGTCTGAACTGTGTTTTTATCCACTGTAGGGTTGAGTGGTCTGAATACACAGTAAAGTGTCTGTCGAACAGGTAGTGCCTCCATGTGTCCAACGCACAGACTAAGGCATGGAGTTCTCTTTCATATGTGGAGTTGGCGACTTTGTCACACGGCAGTCGCTTAGACATAAATTCTATGGGCCTATAGCCCTTGCCGTAATCTTGCTGGAGAACAGCGCCAATCCCATACTGACTTGCGTCAGTGGTGACAATGAAAGGCAAAGACGGGTCAACAATCTTAAGGACAGGGTAGTGAGTCAGGGCATACTTCAACTTCCGAAAGGAAGACTCACAATCCTTATCCCACAACCAGATAGTTTCTTTCTTTAACAATCTTCGCATTGGTGTAGCGATCAGTGATAAGTTTTTGACGAACTTCCTATAATAACTAGCTAGACCAAGGAAAGATCGCAATTCAGTAATAGACCTAGGTTGTGGCCAATCTCTAATTGGTGATATCTTTTTCTCTTCCGGTCTTAGACCTTCTTCGTTTACTATGTGTCCTAGGCATAACACTTCGGACTTGGCAAACTCAGACTTC